GAGCCTCTGAAATTTCCACCTTCTTCCTCAGCTGAGGATTCCCCAGCACTGTTGTCGACAGGGCCCTCAACCGGGTCCGACCTATCTCTCTCACTTCCACCCTCATCCCCTCTCTTCCCTCCTGCAACAGCGATAGTGTTCACCTTGTCTTCTCCTACCATCCCACCAGCATCCACATCCAGAAGATCATCAGATGCCATTTCTGCCACCTCCAGCGAGATGCCACCAACCAGACACACATTCCCTTCCCCTCCCCTGTCCACCTTCCACATGGACTGTTCCCTCCAGGACACCCTGGTCCTCTCTTCCTTCACCCTCAACACCCCCACAGCCCCATGACATCTTCCCCGTAACCGGTGAAGGTGGAACATCTGCCCATTTACCTCCTCCCTCCCCAGTATCCAAGGACCCAAACATACTGTCCAGGTGAAGCAGCACTCCACCCGCACATCCCAGAATCTAGTTTTTACTGCATTCTCTGCTCACGATGTGGTCTCCTCTACATTGAGGAAATGAACCATAGACTGGGTGACTGCTTCGCAAAAAAGACCCTGAGCTTCCAGTTGCCTGCCACTTTAACACACCACCCTGTTCCCTGGCCAGCATCTCTGTCTCAGGCTTGCTGCAGTGTCCCAGTAAAGCTCAGCACAAACTGGAAGAACAACACTTCATTTTCCACTTGGGGATCCTGTCACCCTTCGGACTCAATATCAAGTTCAATAATCTTAGGGCCTAAGCTCTCCCATGTCCTAGCCCCCTACCCCACATACAAGGCCTTGATATCACATAGCTTGCTATTGCACACTAACAGTCCCCATTAACAGCTATTCACCCTCCTAGCCAGATCGTTATCAACTCCTTTGTCTATCCAACTGCTTTTCTCTCTCTTTGAGCTCTATCCCCACCTATTGTTTACTCCCTACCCCCTCCCCTCCCTATCTTCTGCAAATAAACTGACGTTTTTTAGCTGCCATCAGTTCTGAGGAAGGGTTACCGGACCCGAAAAGTTAGCTTTGATTTTTTTCTTCACAGATGCTGCCAGATCTGCTGAGCTTTTCCAGCAACTTCTGAGATCATCTTTCAGTTGTGCAAATTTGCAAGATTCAACTAGAAATCTCAGTATAGTCACACTCTGATGGACATTCTCACCTTCTTCCTAAGCTCTGATGTTATTTCTGTAACATTCATTGGGAGAGGGTTAAAAGTTAGTCTTCAGGTTCTCCAGCATTTCACAATGTCCTGCTTCTCAGTAAAGGTTTAGGGTCCAATGCAGCTTGCAGCGTGCTTTCCATAGCACTGATAACCAAGTTGATACTCTTCAAATTTCTTGTTTAACTCTGTCAATCTGTAGTTAATCATTCTACCATTACAATTAGGAGTATTTCTAATTCATGTCCAAATCTCCCTTAATCCTCCAAGGATAGAGAGAAAGAATGAGAGAGTGTGGTTAACCAGGTTGCCCTTCAATAGAGGCAAAACAGAGTTGATGGCTCAAAGAGTCTCCGTCAGGACTGTTCTATCCTGGTATTCTGTCATGATATACTTCAAGAGACTGTTCAGTTATTCCAAAACGGTTGTTTTCATGTGAGGCCATGTTATCGTGCTCCCTTAGTAAATAGAGTGCTGATCAGGCATTGTGGTGCACAAGTATAAATCTTGCTCCACCTTCCCAAACCCTAATAATATAACGATTGTCTGACTTTATACCCACTCTTGGAAAAGCTATTGGATATCCTTCTGATCTTAGTTTGGTTGAGTGAAGAACTTGTAGATTTGGACTGAAATCTGTCCAACTATTTTGTGGCACCATATGTTAATGTGACAAAAATGGCAATGATGGATTATTTATTGCAGTCTTTCTTGCTGGTCACAGTATGCAGAGAATTAAAATTGATTTCTGCCTGCTGTTTCTCAGGCTGTAGAGAAGACACATCCCAGCCTGACTATGCATCAGGACAAGGCCTTAGTGGTGATAGTTTGATTGCTGTCATTGTCCTTGGTTGCAGACAGAGGGCTTGTAACTGATGGGAGTATTCCGTTCAATTAAAGTATCATACATGAATATTTTAAGTAATAGTTTGATTGACAACCATATTGCTGTTGAAGATATGGTTCAAATTTGAGTAATGATTATTTTTAGATGCCTTGGTGGGCATCTGTGTAGCTAAAAATCTATAGGTTCTAGGTTTATCCATGTTCAAATGCCAATGGGGATTTTAGGCACAGGTACAAAATTTCAGCTGACACAAATACTGAGGAAGTGCTGCACTGTCGGAGGTGCCATCTTTCAGATGAGACTTCAAACCAAAGTCCCTGATCTCTCTCAAGTCGATGTATATTATATGGCTGTATGTCAAAGAAGCAAAGGGTGTTTCCCAGTCCCCTGGCCAATATTATCATTCATCTAAATCCGTTAAACAAAATTACCTGGTCATTGTCCCATTGTGGTTTAATTGATAGGGGAGGTGGTAGTGGTAATGTCACTGGACTAGTAACTGGTGTATTGTGTGCAGTTCTGGTCACCACATTACAGGAAGGACATAATTGCTCTGGAGGAAATGCAGAAGTGATTTACTAGAATGTTACTAGCTCTATGTAAATTTGCTGCTGCATTTCCTACATTAAAACTACATGTAAGAGTAATTCACAGCTTATAAAGCTGTTTGGGCAAAATACTGTATAAATCTACATGCGGCCTTTGCAGTGGCAAGTAAAAGAAACAATTTGTGGGATCCATCATGTGTTCGTAGTTGATGGTTTGTTCTTGACATTTTCATAAAAGTTCATAATTATTGTTAAGTACACTACTTGTGCTAAGTATTTTCATTTTTTCTGATTGACCTGCTGTCTGACCTGCTGAGTGTTTCTAGGATTCGCTGTCTTTAGTTAATTGGCAGTGTACCAGAGTTGCGTTGAGGAGACTTTGTAATCGTTACGACGGTCTGAATGGGTGATGAATATCAATTCAATAGTAACTTTCAAAAATTGGACTAATATTCAAAAAGAGAAATTTGCGGGACTGAAGGGAAAGACCATGGAGAGTAGAAGTAATTGAATCTATTACAAAAAGCTGACACTGACATCATATATGAATGGCTTCTTCATTGGGGTATAATTCTATGATTTGTGACTGAATTAATAATGTTTGATTTCACAGTCATGATCGCCTGGGTCATATGATGCATCCAGTAAAACTGGAGAACATGGATGAGGGTTTCTTTTCAACCCAAGTCTCATAATGTCCACCATATAATGAGCAGATGAAGGCATAAATAACACTGATTTGTAAGGGGATGCGAAGTCTGTTGAAAAGAGTGACAAGCGATCTCTGGTGTTAAAACTCAATAGTTCGTGACAGCCAGCATTTCATTGGTAAACACATTACTAATAATGCATCAGTGCATTACAATACCATCCAATGCAAATGGGTAAAACTGGACTCTTTCCATGCGCATTCGTGCAACAAATTATTCTCACCCAGGCTTTGACTAATTCCATTGTTGACATGGCTATTTTTCAAAAAAGTTTTAGTGTGTAACAGCTGTGAAGAGGTCTAAAAATCCTGCTCAGCTCTCTGGGGAGATGAAAGCAATTCACGTTTCTTTTACTGGAGGAAATCCGGTTTTCACCTGAATTCATTATTTTAACAGACTTCAGGTAGACAGTGCTCTTTAGTTTTGAGCCAGTTTGCTCAAATTACATCGAGACATATTCTAAATGAAAATCAGTTTGTTCCCGCTCACTGATATGGTTATAATTTCACAAAAACCTACATCTGTTTATATTTGTTGAATATATAACTTTTCTCTGCTGCAACTCGCTAAAAATATTAGACTTCTGGTAATTTTCAATGGCCTAGTTTAACAGCTTATCCCCTATCTGTTGTCACCTTTGCTTGAAGTTCTCCCCACGATATGCTTCAGTTGTTAACCATGTTTTATCAATTTATTCAGGCCTCAGTACCTGAGTTTTTTAATTCAATTGTGAGATGAAGGTGTTGTTGGCTAGGCCAGCACTTATTGCCAGCTGGCAATTAAGAGTCAACCACATTGCTGTGGGTCTGGAGTCACTTGTAGTCCAGACCAGGTAAGGACAGCATTTTCATTCCCTAAAGGACATTAGTGAACCAGATGGGTTTTTCCTGATAATCGAGAATAAATTTATGATCATCATTAGATCATTAATTCCAGGTTTTATTGAATTCAAATTCCACCATCTGCCGTGATGGGATTCAAACCCAGGTCCCTAGAACATTACCTGGGTCTCTGGAGTAACAATCCAGTAATAATACCACTAGGCCATCACCACCCCTTTTTTTCAACATTGTACGGTTACTGTCCATAGGTAAAATAATATATTACCTATGGGACTCTAGGAAAAGGTGGGGAAAACGCCAGTGTTGTCTATGGCCCCATTAATTACAGACAGCTTATGATGTCAACCATAGGGGTTAACTGTAGGAAGTCAACTTGCATTGTATGAAGATAAATGACGTGTTGTTATTGCCAGTTCAGCGACCTCTACTTTGCAGTGTGTCTTGCTGCAGGGCTTGGCTATAAACCAAGCTTTTCCAACTTACATTCTGCTGATTGATGCCTTATCTAACTATGATGTATTCAAGTGTACATATTTTAAAACAAGTAATGGCAAATAGAAACAACTGCAGATAGGACTTTAGGATAAACACTTGTACGTTTTTTGGAATTAAAGGGTCAGAAGCTCATTGCACATAGTACTTACATAGTGGTTAAATCAGGACGTAGGCTTGCTTTGGTGTCTCACTTTCTTTGTAATTATTTTTATATCAACCTGTTTGTGCATATTATGATACACCTCCGTGGCATGTGGGACTTGAACCTGGACATTCTGGCCCAGAGGTGGGAACACTATCACTGAGCCGCAAGACTGAAAGTACATCATTGTACTAAATATTGAGGCAAAGTGGTTCCATGTGTGGTAAATGCTTGTTAACAGCAATACTTTTCTCCTCGATTATCAAGGGGTGACAGCTTGCCTGGAGAAGAATGACAGAGTAGCTGAAGAAGACTATGAGATAAACGTTGTAAATGGTCCCAAGCGTGGACGACGCAACCAGGAGCAACAGGTAAGACAAATCAGTTTTGCTCTAATATGAATATTACAGCATAACTAAATGACCAATTATTATACTTTTTTAATCTCACATCTTGATGTGTTTGAAGTTTTGATTCTTCTAAAGTTGATGTTTGAGAACTGTTCTTAAAAATAAATCTGAATTCTGCTTGCTATGAAAAATGACTTGAGGTGCCATGAGACCATGGTATGTTTGCATGTGTGCCCTGGCAGATTGCTGCAAGCTTTTCTACCTCTGGCATTGGCAATTCAGATGAATATCTCAGTCATTGCCAGTTTCCAGTCTGGAGTTACACTGTCAATTTCATGTTGCAATGATTTGTGTTGTGCAATGACATAAAAATGGCAGCCGGACTTGGGCAACAGATTTCCATTGAGCTGCCATGTCCACTGAAAACGTGTGGTATGATTCCACCTCCAATTACAAGCACTGTCTTTCCAGGCCACTGCTGTGTTGTGCTTAACTGCTGCCCAGTTATCCATCGGATATTCAAGGAACTTTTAGAAATACATTTAGAATCACCTTAAGATAACACTTGTACAGTGAAAAATGCAATCAAAGCACTGAGTTTCATCTCTGCAGGAACAATTTAAAAGAAGAGTTATGTTGAACTTGTACAGAACCTATATTAGACCGCACCGTATATCATGTAAATTTCTGGATCTCAATTATAAAAGGAATTTAGAGAAGAAGGTGCAGTAAAAAAAAATTGCAAAAAAGTGCAATAAAAGATTCTCTAAGGGTTTGACACAGTGAGTGAGGTAAAAGTTAGAGGCCCTTAGTGCAAGATTGTCACCAATAAATCCAGTAGGAAAACTTCTTCACCCAGATATTTGCTACAAGTTGGAACTTGCCACAACAAAGCTTGGCTGAAGTGAATAACATAGATGCATTTGAGAGAGTTTAAGGCATGCATTAAACTAAATAAAACTTGAGTAAAAAGAAATAGAAGGATGAGATGAGGTTGGGTGAGAAAAGGCTTGTAGATGCATAAGCACCAGCAGAGACCATTTAGGCCTATTTCTGTGCTGTAAATTTTATTCATTTCAGTATGAGATTCTGAATGTGGTGTCGGCTAAATAGACTGAATAGCTGTCCTCTGCAGTCCTCTGCATTCAGATTTATTCAGAGTACTGGCATAACCTGTTTTATTGTATACAGATTGCTTATAGCCTTTGGTGTAATACAGCATTTCATTGAGTTCAAAATTATTACAGCTGAACCTCATTGTATTTGTCAAGTTGTTTTCTGTCGGTAAATGTGTAAAATTTTGATGTTACTGAAGTAAAAGCATCTGACAATATTCTGTAATCCAATATGTTATTTTTGTGTCAGTAATAACTCTTGCTGCAGATCCTTACTATGTACAGTGTAGTACTTGCAGTACATGCATTTAACAAAAATCATTGTCCATGCTATCACATATTTCTAATTGCGTGTTTTCGTTTTCTTGTTTTTATTTTGCGGGCTACTAGCTGCCAAAACTATTTGATGGTTGCCACTTCTATTTCATGGGCCCATTCAAAAGCTGCAAGAAAGAAGATCTCGTTCATTTGGCCAAGGTTGGTGGGGGACAGGTCCTTGCCCGGCAGCCTAAACCAGACAGTGACGTGACTCAGAGCATCAACACTGTGGCTTACCATGCATCCCCTGGCTCAGATCAGTCATTCTGTACACAGTATATCATCTATGACAAGGACAGTAACTATAAGCCTGAAAGAGTGAGGTTAGGCAAAGTGTGGACTACCCATTCTATGTGGCTGATCGACTGTGTTAAATCATTTGAACTGCTATTGATAACTGAACACTAATGAAATTGTCTGTATATGTAGATGTATTTTATAAAATGAGGCTCAAAATGATGTGCTATTGATACAAAATTATGAAAAAAATTGCTTGAAAATGTAAACGCAGCTCAGAAAATGCAAATAATATTAAAATTATGGGTCAAAGTTTGGTTAAACTAATCACTGTAAAAATTGCTTTATAATGACCTTTCTCTGCTAGCTTCACTTCTACCGTGTCACATTAAGTATTCATTACGCTAAATTAAGCTCATTCAATAAAAAGATTTATTTTATATCTTGCTCTACACGTTTTTCACACTCAATTTGTTTTAACATGCAAAGAATAATGAAATACATCTGTTTAACTTGAATCCAGACGTGATGTGTGCCAGCTTTCATAGGTATATGTTAATCCTTTGATTATTAATGTGCTGGTTATCAAATCATGTATTTTTGTAATGAAGGTCTGTCCCGGTGTTAAATCTGTCCACCGTTCTAGTTGCTGCCAAATCACTGAAATGAAAATAAACCGATAAAATACTCCAGTAAAATTTGTGAAACTGTTCTTGATTTACTTAAGTCTATAATTTTAGGATAATTGAGATCACCTTTGCAACCCACTTCCATCAGTCTGGAGAACTATGCAGGAAAACCTCTGCCATTTTTTTTGTTGTTGCACCTTACTCTATAATTATCAACAACAATGTCAGCTAAGCTTAGTTGAATCAGTCAGGGCAATGAAAAGCCAGCTGAGTCTTTAGAAATTTTGAATTCACGCAATGCCATCGAATCAAAAGCCGTAGAAGAAAGACATTTGACACTGTCATATCAGCGCCAACTCTTTGGAGAAGCTGCTGTATTAGTCCCATGATTTTGCTCTTTCCCCATAGACCTGCAAATTTATCCTTTTCAAGGATTTGCCCAACTTCGTTTTGAAAATTACTATTTAATCTGCTTCCGTCACCCTTTTGGCAGCACATTTCACATCATCATTGTATACTGTGTATAAATATAAAGCTTCAGTCCCACCTTTTAGTATTTTGCCAGTTATCTTAAATGTGTTCCCAGCCTCATGATGTGTGATAAGAGTTCATTTCCTGTTCCTTTTAAATCTCTTCACTTTCATTCTTGATCCTTTTGAGTGAGAACAGTTTTTCTATATCTATTGTCTAGACTCCTTGTGATCTTGAAAACTACTGTCAGGTCTCCTTTTAGCCTTCTCCTCTCCAAGGAAAACAGTTCCAACTTATGCCTTCACAACTGAAATTTCTCATCCCTGGAACCATTCTCGTACATCTCCTGCACTTCCACCAATGTATTCACATCCTGCTTATCACATGGCACCCAGAACTCGAAACAGCATTTCAGCTGAGGCCTTAACTATTGGCTTATACAAGTTCAGCAATACCTCCTTGCTCATGCCACACTCTGTCCACTATTATTGAAACCCAAGATACCATATGCATTATGAACTGTTCTATCCTGCCCCATGATATGCATCTACTCTGAGTAAAGAACCTACCTCTGACATCTATCCTATATCTATCACCCCTCAATTTAAAGCTATGTCCCCTCGTGCTAGCCATCACCATCCAAGGAAAAAGGCTCCCACTGTCCACCCTACCTAATCCTCTGATCATCTTGTATGTCTCTATTAAGTCACCTCTTAACCTTCTCTCTAATGAAAACAGCCTCAAGTCCCTCAGCCTTTCCTCATAAGAGGAGAATACTGAGATACAGGCTATTAGACTAGACAGGATTGAGGTTCATAAGGAGGAGGTGTTAGCAATTCTGGAAGGTGTGAAAATAGATAAGTCCCCTGGGCCGGATGGGATTTATCCTAGGATTCTCTGGGAAGCTAGAGAGGAGATTGCAGAGCCTTTGGCTTTGATCTTTGTCGTCATCGTCTTCAGGAATAGTGCCAGAAGACTGGAGACTAGCAAATGTTGTCCCCTTGTTCAAGAAGGGGAGTAGAGACAACCCTGGTAATTATAGACCAGTGAGCCTTACTTCGGTTGTGGGTAAAGTGTTGGAAAGGATTATAAGAGATAGGATTTATAATCATCTAAAAAGGAATAATTTGATTAGGGATAGTCAACATGGTTTTGTGAAGGGTAGGTCGTGCCTCACAAACCTTATTGAGTTCTTTGAGAAGGTGACCAAACAGGTGGATGAGGGTAAAGCGGTTGATGTGGTGTATATGGATTTCAGTAAAGCGTTTGATAAGATTCCCCATGGTAGGCTATTGCAGAAAATACGGAGGCATGGGATTGAGGGTGATTTAGCGGTTTGGATCAGAAATTGGCTAGCTGTAAGAAGACAGAGGGTGGTGGTTGATGGGAAATGTTCACCCTGGAGTTCAGTTACTAGTGGTGTACCTCAAGGATCTGTTTTGGGGCCACTGCTGTTTGTCATTTTTATAAATGACCTGGATGAGGGCGTAGAAGGATGGGTTAGTAAATTTGCGGATGACACCAAAGTTGGTGGAGTTGTGGATAGTGCGGAAGGATGTTGCAGGTTACAGAGGGACATAGATAAGCTGCAGAGCTGGACTGAGAGGTGGCAAATGGAGTTTAATGCGGAAAAGTGTGAGGTGATTCACTTTGGAAGGAGTAACAGGAATACAGAGTACTGGGCCAATGGTAAGATTCTTGGTAGTGCGGACGAGCAGAGAGATCTCGGTGTCCATGTGCATAGATCACTGAAAGTTGCCACCCAGGTTGTTAGCGTTGTTAAGAAGGCGTACGGTATGTTAGGTTTTATTGGTAGAGGGATTGCGTTTCGGAGACATGAGGTCATGTTGCAGCTGTACAAAACTCTGGTGCGGCCGCACTTGGAGTATTGCGTACAGTTCTGGTCACCGCATTATAGGAAGGATGTGGAAGCATTGGAAAGGGTACAGAGGAGATTTACCAAGATGTTGCCTGGTATGGATGGAAGGTCTTATGAGGAAAGGCTGAGGGACTTGAGGCTGTTTTCATTAGAGAGAAGAAGGTTAAGAGGTGACTTAATAGAGACATACAAGATGATCAGAGGATTAGATAGGGTGGACAGTGGGAGCCTTTTTCCTCGGATGGTGGTGGCTAGCACGAGGGGACATAGCTTTAAATTGAGGGGTGATAGATATAGGACAGATGTCAGAGGTAGGTTCTTTACTCCGAGAGTAGTAAGGGCGTGGAATGCCCTGCCTGCAAAAGTAGTAGACTCGCCAACTTTAAGGGCATTTAAATGGTCATTGGATAAACATATGGATGATAATGGAATAGTTTAGGTTAGATGGGCTTCAGATTGGTTTCACAGGTCGGCGCAACATCGCAGGTCCAAAGGGCCTGTACTGCGCTGTAATGTTCTATATCTAGTCTCTGCTCTTGCACATAGAGTTGTACACTTTCTTTCATTCTATCTATTTTCGTTATACAAAATTGTATCACCTCATGTTCTCTGAATTGAATTTCATCTGGCACCTATCTATCCTCTCAATCAGCGTGTTAATGTCCTCTGAAAGTTTGACACTGTCCTCACAATGCTTCCAAGTTGTGTAATGTGCATGAAGATTGAAATTGTTCACCAAGGTCTCGATCATAAATATGTGTCAGGAGAAGATAGATCATGAGCGTGTGTCATGTCCCAGTGCTGAGCCCAGGGGAATTCTACCACAAACCTTTGTCCAGTCCCCCCAGAAATCCATTAACCATAATCTTTCAGTCAATTTTGGTATCCATTTTGCTACTGTCTTTAACTTTGCACTCAAGTCTGTTGTGGGGCATGTAAGAAATGCCTTTTGGAAGTTCACGAATATAATGTAACAAAATCCCTGCAGTGTGGAAGCAGGTCATTTAGCCCCTCCAAAGAGCATCCCACCTGGACCCATCTCTCTACCACATTCCTGAACTCAAAGGGCAATTTAGCATAGCCAATCAAACTTACCTGCATATCTAAGGACTGTGGGATGAAACTGGAGCACCCAGAGGAAACATGCAGACATGGGAGAACATACAAACTCCACGCAGACAGTTGCCAAGGTTGGAATCAAGCCAGAGTCCCTGGCGTTGTGAGGCAGCAGTGCTAACCACCAAGCCACCATACTCTAATATGACAATGATATAAAAACATAACATAATATCAAGCCTCATCAAAAATTTCCAAGTTAGTTATATATGATTTTTCTAAAGTCCATTCTGACCCTTCCTAATTAAATCATATTTAACTGTTAGTTCTATCCTAGATCATTGTTTCTGAAGTTTTGCTACCACTGAAGTTATGTCAGATCTGTAATTGCTGGGCATATCCTTATGCCTTTTTGAACATGGTTGTAATACAAACAAAATTCCAGAACTCTGATATCATCCCCGAGTCTAAGGAAAACTCAATAATGGCCAGGGCCTCCATTCTTATTTCCTTTAGTATCAGTAAGTGCATCTCATCCAATTCCAATACTTTATCAACTTTAAGTACAGTTTCTCCAATACCACCTCCTTATCATTTTGAACTCTTCTTGAAACAGAATTTCCTCTTGCCAATATGGCAAGGATAACAGCTTCTTCATAAGGGTATATGCAAGTATTCATTTAATGACTTAGCTATGCTCCTATCTCCATGTGTAAATCCCATTTATAGTCCCTAATCAACCCTCCTTTACTTTAGGCCGTCCTCCAGACTGAGGGTGACTCTCTTCCACAATGGAGTGGTGAAATGACTAAGCAGTCTAGTGATGGATTTGCATCCCCAGCCACAGTTGAGGTGAGTGGGCTTGGGATTTTGCACTTCTTCCCCTGAAGCATTTTCTCTGCCCTCTGGTAACCATTTGCGGTGACAGAGCTTGGAGTAGAGAGCTTGCTGTAGATGTCTGTGTAAGACTCCTCCTTTCATCATTATTTTAGTGTTTATCTATCATGATGTGATCACAGAGCAAACCATCAAATTTATATTATAACCTAGCTTGGGACCGGTATTTTTTCAATTTGGAATTACAAACCACTTTGACTCCTTTACAGAATTTGCAGTTATAGAATCATAGAGTCATACAGCTCAGAAACAGACCCTTTGGTCCAACTCATCCATGCAGACCAAATTTTCCAAACGAAACTAGTCGCATTTGCCTGAGTTTGGCCCATATCCTTCTAAACCTTTCCTATTGATGTATCTGTCTAAGTGTCTTTTAAATGTTGTAACTATACTTACATCTACCATTCCCTCTGGCAGTTCATTCCATATACACAGCACCCTCTGTGTGAAAAAGTTGCCCGTCGGGTCCCTTTAAAATCTGTCCCCTCTCATCTTAAAACCTATGCCC